TTGTTTGACTTATAAGGTTGACAGGGTGTTGTAATTTGTATAGCGAGTTAACAGTTAACTAACTTGTCTAGGGTAATGACAAACCAAAGAAATTTACTGTTTACTGATGTTTTATGCTGGATTAAGCCAGTTACAATAAATATTGCTTGTTTACACTAACGTCACACAGCAACATACTTGTTGATGTTTTGCATCTATGTCATGTAGTATAGCTAAATGTGGCTATTATTAGAAACCATAAATGATACATATAAAGACACCACTGGATGAGATCATAAAAATATGTCTCACAATCTGAGAATTCCCTTCTGATGAAAAATGGCTAACTTCCATGTTAGAGAAGTAGAACGACATGGTTTTCAGAGAAGCTAAATTATATGCTAATTGTGAGAAGTGGAGAACTGGAAGTACATGGAAGGGCTTATATGAATCTTAAGAGAAAATCTAACTCCAGCAATAAAAGTAAATAATTGAGGGATATAATGACACAGACGAGGTTCGGGTTGATGTGGGAGCAGCGACCGGAAGCAACCAAAAAGTAACTAAGGCAATCAAAAATGTTATGTTACCGTTACAGCAACTACTTGTCATGTGGGAGCCCTTGAATCTCAATTAGCTAGAAGGCGATGGAGAATGAGAGATCCACTGAAAACAAATGTAGTGAGGATAAGACAACGTATATTAGGTGCATGCGTCAATCACAAAGAGCTTGGTCACATATCAATCAACTGAGAAATATCCAAGTCTACTGTCGTGTTGGCTATTGTGACGTCATGTGTGATTCTGAGGGGAAGAGGTGCAATGATAATGATCAGGACAAGAAGAGTGATAGGACAAATTGTAAAACCATATTTTGAGAAACTTGCACGCAGATATAGAATTATACCTGATAAGAAAAAAGGCAGTCTATGACAGTACTATGACAGCGTACAAGGTGCATCATATGCTAAGCCACTGTTGGTACAAACACAGGTTAGAAAATGCATAGTAGAATATGTACATCTGTAGAAATAGATCACATAAATAGAGTGAGAGAAGGTCGTTCATTAGACACTGGCTGTCAGGTAAAAACCATTGTTGAGGGCTTCTACTGAAAGATACTGCATGGCTGGCATATTCAATACAGGAGTGAGATATTAGAGATGACGTATGTCCTTGTGTATATTAGGCTAGTGTCTGTCAGAATACTTGAGAAACATGTACTGGGACTGGTGAATGTGGCACTGACTATTGGTACTAATGCCCTAGATCTGTGTACGCTAGGTTGTGCCACAAAAAAGATCAGTATTTTTGTTGCTGTGGAACCAACAACAAGTTTGAGTTGTGCAGTACTGTCTGGACCCATGGTGACATTTTGGAATACAATAGTGAGACATCACGTCCACAAGTCCAATTATATAATGCATCAGCAAAAACAGTGTTATTGACGAAGCTAATTAATGATGAAGATTGGAGGTGATGAAGATTGATGCTAACACTATTCCAGATGCATATGCTTTGCTACAGATAGAGGACAGCCTTGATGCAACAAAGGGGACCAAATCGTTTTTTACTATTGACTTAAAAGTGCTTCTTGGCAGGTCCTGACTGATGAGCAGGGAGCAAACAATATTCGTCACACCTGTTGGCCATTATGAGAGTAAACATATGCCCGTGGGGTTGTTTTTGGGTGATTCGATCAACAAGACATGTGTTGTATATCTTCATGTTGTGGTGATTTTTTAAGGAGATTGAGGACAACTTCATCGTCAATGCAGGGCGAAATGCGAATTCTTTTGTACGGAAGTCCACTACGTAGGACTAGTGCCAAACAAATGATATAAGGAGATGAAGACCTTCCTTGGTATAGCTGGGTACTACCATAGTTATGTGGAAAGGTTTTCAAAGAATGCTAAACTACTAATGTATTAACATTAAAATTAACATGCCTCAACCACTATGAATTAAGGTAGCGAAAATGCTTTGATAACGTTTTTGAATAAAGCATTCTCTGTATGTCATCTCAATCAGATCCGTAATTTAGCGTATATAATTAAAAAGCCTAAGTATAGAAGGACAACTTCGCACAAACGGCACATGTTTGTTTCAATATAAACCACGCAACAACAAAAAGCGAACATGACTAAATCTACGATTGCGAGATCACTGTTATGATAGCGACTTCACGTTCGCACATTCGGTTCACACGTCGTTTGACTATTGCTTAGAATTAACAATTTGCATGTTTAGAGTGGAGATTATAAACATATATTAAAGGAATTTGATAAATAGATTGTTTACTTATGGTATTTAGTAGTGGCGACTTCGCAAGGCATTAACCGTTAGACACATCCCTGTTAATCACGTGATCATGCCAACGACTGCTGCGATTGGCTGGTCGCAAGGTTACACTGCCACGCCTTAGAGATTTCACTTTTAATATGGAGTTTGTAAACTTTTGTAAGAGGGAGAGGGAACGAGAGAACTGTACAGCGAGGGGTCAACTCGGCTGATTGATTGGGAGAATAAAGCTGTACTATCTGTAATGAACTTATGTGTATTCATTTGGGTCGAATCTG